CCCCGGGCAGATGTCCACATCACAATCCTCTCTCCTCCATTCTCCTCTCGGGATTTTGTGCATGCATGCCACCTGTCTGGACGCGAAACACAGTCCGCGATGTGGAACTGCAGCAACACAATCATTACGCCATCTGCTAATCCCTCACATACTTGAATAACCTCTTCCCCGGTTTCCACTGTGATTATGTATTGGATGTGTTGTGGGTGTGGTCTTCAACATTTACCTCATAGGTGGCAAAATAGTGAGATGATAAGAACAGAACCAGGGGAGGAACGCCCACTACCACAGACCCTGGGCTGTCACCAGACATGGAACCCATAAGACTTTGGGGTATCTTCCTTTGTGCATAAGACCTTATGCTTTATAAGGGGACTTCCAAAAAGTTTGTGGAGAAAATAGGAATTGAAGTATGAATTTACTTTGGTGCAGAAAACTTGAAGGTAGTATTTTTCATAATACACATGTTCCATGAACTTTCTGAAGATCTTATATATTAAGGAGGCGCATCCTTGCTTTTAGAAGTGTATGTGTGGAAGAAGATAGTGTGTGGCTGCCTCCTATAGGCTGGCTTCTTTTTTTTCCTTTTTTTTTTTGAGAGATTTTTGCTATAGGATGTGTGTGCTTGCTGGAGAGACAGAGAGAGAAAGAGAGACAGGAAATGAAAAATCATCCAGTGGGTGATTGTGGCCACACCACAATCCCTTCTCTCCCATTATCCTCTCGGGACTTTGGGCACACATGCACATGCACCCAGCTTGAGTTTTAAGTCTCTGGGTCCCAGACTTGAACCGCTGTCAACTACATGGGAGTTCAGTAACCATTACTGGTCCTGCTGGTCCTGAGGCTGGTTCTTATCTGGGGAGAATCCCTCTTTATTGTCTGAATGGAAGGCAGGATCCCATCTGCCTCTTTTCTTTTTTTTTTTTTTTTTTTTTTATAACCAAAACAACCTGTTCCTCCTCTCCAGGCCCCTGTCAGTACAATGTCCTGTGGGCTGGACAAATGTGGAAAATGGTCAGTCTCTATGGCCTACATTATGGCTGAGATCCAGGCATTTGTGTCATCCCAAGGCACAACCTCGTGAAAGCTATGTGGCAAGCCGATGGGCAGCTACGAAAGGTAAGAGGTCTCAACGTTCCCGTTCCCTTCTCTCTGTCAACTACATTGGGGTCTCTGCCTGCTCTGGGCCAACTTGGTGTCCCACTAAAGAAGTGGGCAAATTGTATAGACACATAGAGACAGTCACCAAGGTGGCCTGAAAATTTCTGAAATGTTCCTCTCCCACCAATCCAGTCAGTGTTCTGCCTTAATCTTTGGGATATATGACTATGAGATCATGGTTAATTTCTTCTTCAGAAATTGACACATGCTACAATGTAGATAGACCTAAGGACACTACTGATGCTCAGAAAAATTAGCCAGTCACAGGACAAATGTCATCTGATTCCACTAATATTATTAGAACTACCTAGACAACTCCATGCAGACAGACTGGAATAGGCTATCCAGGGGCTTTCGGAACAGGGATTGGGAGTTAGTGTTAATGGGGACAGAGTTCCAATTTTGCAAGATGAAATGTTCTGCAGATGGATGTGGTTTTGGTTGTACAACAGTATGAATGTATTTAATGCCACAGAACAACACTTAAAAATGGTTAAGACAGTAAACTTTCTATTATGTACAATTTACTATCATTTAAAAAAAAGATTTTGTCAGATAGAGAGATGAATCAGGGGGGCCTAATCTCATTTTTAATTTTTTAAGAGAGAGATTTTTTGTTATGGGGTGTGTATACTTGCTGAAGAGACAGAGACAGAGACAGAGAGACAGAAAGCAAGAAACTACCCCTGGGAGGATGGCCATGCCACAAACCCTTCTCCTCCACTTTCATCTCGGAATCTTGGGCACACAGGCACACACACCTGGCATGAATTTTAAGCCGCTGGGTCCGGGACTTGCACCACAGTTGCCCGTGTGATGTAACCACTACGCCGTCTGCTGGTCCCCAGGTAGGCCTCATCTAATCTTAGAGTCCTTCCAAGCTGAGAGGTTTCTCCGCCTGGTACAAGTCAGAGACGTCACCTCAGCATGCTAGCGCCGGTTTGGCGATAGGAGGGGCCACAGGAAGAAGTGACTTCTAGGAGCAGAAAGCAACCCTGGCTGATGGCCGGCAAGGAAACGGCAATATCCATACTACAACTCCAAGAAACACATTCTTCCAACGCGCTCAGTGGCCTGGAAGCAGGTTCTCCCCAAAAGCCTGAAGACAGGAGCCCACCCCTGATGCCTTGGTTTCAGTCTTATGAGACCTGAGAAGGGGGCCAGCTGAGCCCCCAGAACTTCTGACCTAGAGAACTACGAGTTGAGGAACGGGGATGCTGTAAGTTACTAAGTCCGTGCTGCTTGTTATGCGGCAAATAAAACACGTGCAGGGGTTTGCAGTGGTGGCCTCAGGGCAGCATGCCTACCCATACTTCCCAGCGGCCCTGTGCTGCCCCTGCCACTTGCCTTTCTTTGTGCTTCCTCATTCCCCAGCCTGTTCCCAGGGATCCAGTGGATTGCCCTGTGTCTTTCCATCTGTTTTCAATGGAGCCTATCTCCCCCTTCCCCATCCCACCTCAATGTGGATGAAAACAGCTCGTATCTACCCCATAAGAATCACAGGAGGGCTGGTGGCGGGAACATCTTCACCTCTGTGGGCAGACAGGCAGCCAGAAAGGGGGCTGAAGCAGAGCATCAGTTCTGGGGCCGCTGAAGACCACCCGAACATCCTCTTGGGCTCAGTCATCAAGAGCATCTTCTTCAGAGTGTGGAAGTGCTCATACCCCCTTGCGAGTGTCTGAAGAGGCTGGGCTCCTGGTGCTGGTGGCCATGGGCTCTGAGGAACAGAGAGAACCATAAGGCTGTTACAGAAGGTTCTAGAGGGGATGCAAAGTTATTCTAGAATGTTTTAGAGGGGCCTAGAAGACCATTCCAGAATGTTCTTTTTTTTTTTTTTTTTGAGAGGTTTTCAATATAGGGCACGTGTGCTCGCCAGACAGAGAGAGAGAGACATAGAGACAGAAAACAAGAAATCACCCCCCAGGGGGGATGGTCACACCGCAATCCCTTCTCCTCCATTCTCCTCTCGGGATCTTGGGTGGGCACGCACGCACACGCGCCCGGCGTGAGTTTTAAGCCACCGGGTCCGGGACGCGAACCGTGGTCGACTACGTGGGGAGTCCAGCGACATAGCCATTACGCTAACTGCTGGTTCCCATCCCAGAATGTTCTTGAGGGAACTGTGAGTTGTTGCAGAATATCCTAGAGGAACCATGAGGCTGTTTTAGAATGTAGAGGGGCCAGGAAGGATGTCTGGCAGCAAGGGGGCCCAGATGGCCGGGGAAGAACAAGTGGGTGAAGTGAGTGGAGATGGCAAGCAAGGATGGCCAGAGCACAGGGGACTTTCTGGCTGTTAGGTCTAGGTCCCTTTTTCTCCCTAGGGTTCCTCAAGGTCAGAAACCCTGGTCTGGGGCCTAGTTTGGGAGCCCCAGAAGCATCCATCTCGCCGTGTTGGTGTCAGACCTTGGCAGGCATTGGGACTGAGTGGAGGGAGGTGTCTCAGTGTGGTCCATGGAGTGCAGTGCACGATGGTCTTGTAACTTTCCAATTACCTCTCCCTGATATGGCCAGTCACTTCCTAAGTACTTCCTCTAGCATACCAACCTCAGCGCTTGGTCAGGGGTCCCCCCTGCCCCCCCGCCGCCACACACACACACACACACACACACACACATACCTCTGCAGCAGAAGGGCATCTGCAGGCTGGTGAGCTCTGCTTCTGCAGGGCTGTGAGACCTCCTTCAGGGAGGGAGTAGAGGGGTGAGTGTGGGGTGCCTACCGTGGAGTCAGGGAGTATTTGCCTTTGCGGTCCAAGTTGCAGCCGGAGTGGATGGCAAACCAGAGGAAGGAGCTGAGAAGTATCGCATACACCTGGGGAGGGAGCCCCCCAATTGTCCTCATCAGCAGCTGCACCAGCAGCAGCAGCAGCAACTCTGGGGTGGGGTGACCCCTCTCTAGGAAGTTTCTGGACTCTATGGCATTGGGAAGGAGTCCAGCTATCTTGGGGAGCCGGCAGACTCTGTCTACCCCCAGGCTACCTCCCTGGTAAGCAGCCACCCCCCCTGCTTCCTAGCTTCCT